TAAATTTATAACATAAATCCATAATAAAAATTTACCTGTTTGCATTATGGCGGGGGAAAAAAAAAAAAAAAAAAAAACGTTTATCTTGATTAACGAATTAAAGACCTTTAAGATGAGGATCCAAAACTGTAGCTAAAAGTACTACTTCATCTGGAACATTCCATAATTCATCAAGAGAAAGATAAATTGCAGCTTGAAATTTTTCTATTAAACCACTAAAATCATTAACATATTCACTTTCTTGTTGACTATTATAATTATATGCTCTTTCATGTTCACATTCAAGTTTACGTTTATATCCACGTCTACGCTTATATTTACAGATTTTATATTTGCTTTTATTTTTATTATTTTTGCGAATTTTATAATTGACTTTTCTTAAAGTACTAGAGTTAGATTCTGAATCTTCAGTACTACTATCTATGCTGCTATTGGTATTAGTAGTTTTATTAGTATCTTCAGGGCCATATATTAAGTTTATATAGTTATCTACCATATTATTACCAGTTGGAGCAAACTTTCGCTTTAATAAATACATGTAAGGATATATCAAATTAATAGTAGAATACTTTGTATCAGAAACCTTCCGAGTTATTTCTTCAAATAGTGCCAAAATTTTTACTACGCCTTTAACAAAACTAAAAATAAATAAATGTTAAAATAAATATTAAAAAAAATAGAAATAATAATAATAATAATAAAGCTTACTCAAACTCTTCAGAATTAAGATGCAATTTATTGAGATGATCACCTTCTTTATGAATTTGTAAATTTTGTGATAAACAAAGATTAGCAGCAATACTTCTAATTACATCATCTAAATTTAAAACTCTTTTCTATGCAAGGTATGAACTATTCCACCTTGTTTTACAGTCAGTTAAAACCTCTAATAGATTTAAATAATCATTATTGTTTTCTATAAAATTATCTTGATCTTGTTGCATAATATTTTCTTGTGTTTCACAAAGTCATTGAGCTTGTTTCGGACTATGAAAAAAATTTTGTATATTTTTAAGCCATTTATAAATTGTCATGACTTGCTTAATTTCAGACTAAACTGAAAGCTGAAGCATATGTGCAGCACAAGGCAAATGTTTAACTGAACTAAATTCTTTTTCTAATAGATAACAAGCTTTAATTATATTAGAGCCGTTATCTGTAGCAATA